TAAAATCTTCAAATCTTGATAATTTGACAAATATGTCAGATACTGCACACTTCTCACCATGATGTCTTCTACATAAATTCGATAAGTTCTGAAATAATATTAATATGTTGCAATGTCAAGATTTACCATGTTCTTTTCCTTTGTCTTATTTTCACATACACCTTTCAAAAATGCTTATTAAGAATTGTAAGAAAGTTGAAATTATTTTCATTTGGTTAGGAAAATAACAACAAATATACAGTCCTAACATAAGCTAAGATTGAATGATGACTTTCTGGAGTCAGAACCGATAATCCCAACTCTATGAGGGATATGGTTTCGACATGAACTACAGGTATATGGTATGGATAGCTATATGTTTGAAGAATACATTGCTGTTACGTAATTTGAATGATAATGCACTGAATAGAGCCTTTTGTGTTTACCGTCCCACTGACAGTAACAGGGCTAAGCAGTATGTGGATTTATTTTGCGGGTTTGTCGTTAAGTTGTTAATCACACCTTGTCTTCTGTGAAAAGTATTTTGGTGATTAATGTGACAATATTGTAAACAATCTCCAAAAAGTTAAGCAGGTAAATAAGGTAACGACACGGCACGTGCTTAGAGTCAAAACCGAAACAAAGATTGAGGATTGAAACTCAGCAAATATCGCCATTGGCGGTGAACTTAAGAGAACATATACTGATTATATGATGTGGTGATGGAGGCGAAGATATGGTCGGATACCAAAGTATGACTTTTATTAGTTTATGTATATGGAGAGAGAATGATATTTTGGTGTATACACACAGACATGGTAAAGCAAAGCCTCCCCCTTTTCAGCATTTGCACACACTAATAATTGTACAATAAATAGATAATCTTACCCACAATGCACCATTCCCTGTACTTACTTTTTTGAGTTAAAATTAGTAATATCTGGTAAATAAGGCAGTCTTTTGATTTGTATAATGCTGTCATATATTGAAGGCTGTAATAAATGAGCTATAGCATTGGCTATCAGTACTGCTATCTGTAAACAAACAATTTGATTTTTAGATGATTTATTTGTGTGTGTGTGTGTGTATAATAGTGTTCAAGCACAACTCCTTCGTACAGGCTAAGAGGTCAAATACCCATGCTGAGAAATAAATAAAAAATAAGCATGTGGCTAAGAAACATTAAATACAGATTAAACTTGGCCTGTTGTTAAGAACCAGTCCAGGTCCTTGTTAATACAGGATTAAAAAAATGTTCATGAATTGGTGAAATTTAACAACAAAAATTATCGAAAAATTTATTTAACAGCACAAAATTTCACCTCCAACCATTATTTTGGTGTTCTCTGCTGCTGAGAGCAGGATGACATCAAGTAATGTCCAAGAGGGTCAGATCGATATGCAAACAGGGGTGTCAGCTATTCACCAATACAGGTCAAACTATTATGCAAACAGGGGTGTCAGTTACTCACCATGACGGGTAATATATGTACAATTTGCCCAGTCAGCTCAAACACAATGACTGATGTTGATATAGTATGTGTCACACTCCCAGATAAAGCTGCAGCTCCTGCAAAAACAGTATTATATATTAAATATAAACCACAGGGGCACACTGTGAAAGAAAGAAATATTTTGAACGGCACCTTTGTAACCTCCATTAAATTTGATCCTGTAAAACTATACCACCACATTTGTACTGGTTTCACACAAAGCTAGGAATTACCCAGAATTCTCTATGGTTTTGCTTGAAACGTGTTATTGACATAAATAATATGTTGGACCCAATATATACACATATTATAATATTTGTTATTAATTTTTTTAAATGGTTTTGTCCAAGTTACATGTTGTATTCTTCACGCTTTTATATATGGGTTCATACAATCAGAATGCTGAAAATAAAAAATAACAATTGGAAAATGGTCAAAATTGTCATTTTTACACAGGCTTCCATGGGGTGATTATTTATTCATATCTCAAAATTTTGCTCAGTGACATGTGATGAAAAAATCGTATATTATAATTTACATGAATCCTAATATTGGGCAAAAAAAGAAAAAACTTATGTTGCCCTCAAGTCAGAAAATTGAAAAAATTGGATCGGTCGGTCGGATTCTTTTTTTTTTCTTAAACTTGTAAAAACTAAGAGTATTGTAAATAGCCGAGGTATATGGGAATCAATCAAACGCATGATAGATATTAAACACAAAAATCAAAGTGTTTCTTTCAGTCTTTTGTATTTAAATACAGATCAACCCAAGGTTCAAAAAACAAAACAAAACATGACCTAATATTTCATATTTTTCGGTCGGTTGTTGAGGGCAACAAAACAATTTCTTTTTTTGGCCTTGTGAAACATTTAAAACAAGCGACATTGCAGCCGAAAGAGCTCCACTGTAATTATTAACTGTGAGTTGGAAATGTAGGGTAGAGTGATGTTGATAAACTTCCTAAACTGTTTACTAAAAATAGATACTTGCATATGATCTCATAAAATTAGTAAGTCAGAATCTAGTCCATGTCAAAAACATTCATGCCAAATTTCAATGCAATCTGAGTTTTGACCAAAAATAAAAAAAATATTTCCTAAAAATAGAGATTTGGATGTGATGTTATGAAATGAACAAATCTGACAGAGGACGCCCCCAGATAGCTGTGCTTTAAATATCAAGGCTATCTAGCTTAAGGTTTGGGAGAAGAAGTCGCTTGAAAAAAAGTTGACGGACGACACACTACGTATGACAGACAGACGACAACAGCTTCAGTCAACCTGCTCCCGCTCCAGTCAACCCACTCGGTCATCTTTGATGACAGGATTTAGTGAGTCTTGAAGGTGACAATAGTTTTCAATTATATAAAATGGGAGGTTAATTCCCATAATGCATTGCATATATGTGAAGTAACATGATCAGTAAAGCAAAATTTGAATTCGGATAACTCCCTATGATACATTGTGCAATATGTGATTTGAATAGTGAACTAGAATCATGCCATCTAATATAGCTTAACAGTCTGCAATGCATACTTAAAACAATCTTATTCACAATACAGAAGTTACATCAAAGTATTCAATGTTCTAAAATCAACAAACGTGACTGAGGTACACCAAAGATAACGAACCAAGCTTGTAGTTTTCAAAAAAGTAAAAAAATAACATTTTTATTCAAAATGACATAACTATTGAATTCAACGTCACACAATAAACAAATCTCAAAAGAACTTCTCATAGTGTATATATACAAGCCTTGTAAGTATTAATAGTAATATGTTTATTACTCTACCAGTACCATCTGAGGGTACTGTATGGTAAAGACAAAACATAAAATACATTTCACAGACAAAGACAAAAACTACACTGAACCCAACTGATGTTTTTTAAGATCAATTTGAAAAGGTAAAGTTGATGCGGCCAGACAAACAGTAATTATTGATAATTCCACTCTGACAGTGAAATCATGTGACTAACATTAATGTCCTGCACTTTAAGTCGCCTGACAAAAATAAATCCAAGACATACATACATACTATTATATTTAATCTGAAAATACTGTCACGTTTTCAGCCAAAATGTTTTTATTATTCCATGGGATGGAAAACCATACCATACTGTTTTATGATCAAGTAAAATTCTTTCGAAATCCTCAAAAAAACAAGTTCTGTATAGGGCTTAATTATCAGCTGAGTTTTATTTTCACTTACTGTAAAGTACTGTAAAAGGGTTTATTATTCACTGGGTTTTATTGTGTGCTTATTTTGCTGACTGGAAAATGTGCTAAATTAAAACCCAGTGAAATTTAACATTATCTAAATGATAAAATCGTGAATTTAAAACCCTCTAAAAATGCCTGAAATGGTAAATCAGCTAAATTTAAACCCAGTGAAAATTAGTCATTTTACAGTATTTTATTTTCATTGGAATTCATTTTGTTTTCATTGAAGGGTCAAAATCAGTGAAAGTAAAATCTAATGAAAATACTTTTTTTTTCTATGTTTTTCAGTGCTTTTTCAGCGGAAATTAATTCCAACTAAAATAAAGTCATTTACAGTATTCCTCTGAACACCAAATGTCCCAAATTAAAGCGAGAATTGAGTCCCAAGCGACGATAACAACACACCCTAAAAACACAAAGGCTCATGGGTAGACGCTTTTTTATAAACAATAAAACGCTATAGCCATCTGCCGCATGCGCAGGTAACGACTCCCCCACTATTAAAATTTAAACAATATAATGTATTGTTTTTTTCACAAACCAGTGAGTTTAAAAAACCTAATGAATATCCTGGTAACATCAGATCAGTTAAAATACAACCAAGTGAATAAACATCCATCTTCAGTAATTTGTTTTTGCCTCTTTTAAAAATATACCATTCCCCAGCATGAAATAGCAAAATATTCTGCACAGAAACACAATTACGTGCATGAACAAGTGTCTGTACAAAAGTCAAGTTCATTACTGCTATTTTTAAATTAGTATAAGTACGCAACAAAAGCATGGGGTCAGAGTTCAAAATATAAAACAGGATACAAACTGTAACTAACAAACTGTATACAAGTTACAGGATATGACTCCCTAACACACTCAAGAAGTTACAGGATGTGACTCCCTAACACACTCAAGTTTCACAAAATAACATCACATAATACTTAATACAAAATAAAAGGAACAACACCCATGAAATAATTATCATTCTGATCGTTGCTAGAGGAAGTACTACATACATTGGCAAGGAAGTACCATTTATACAGCAAAGGAACACATCATTTTGTTTTAAAACTACACCACAGCTGCTAAAGAAGGCACATGTAAACTGCATATCAGCAATTGTAGTTTATAGATAGTGGTAGATACAGAGGATTATTAGAAAACACCATGGCGACAAGTCTGACTAATGACTACTGCTAAGGAACTGCACTAAATATCAACAAGAACTCAAGTTATTATTAGACTGCAAGATATTTCAGTGGTTGTCACTATGGCTGCCAGTCTAACCATTGACAAGATAGATGAGCAGTTTTTGAGGTGTTCAGTGTGTCTTGAGCGGTACAATAAGCCAAAAGTTTTACCGTGCCAGCATTCCTTCTGTGAATGTTGCTTAATACAATGGAAGAGACAGCGAGGCAGGCTAGACTGTCCCACATGCAGAGATCCAACCAATAAGACTATTGAACAACTTTCACCAAACTTTATGATCAATGGGGTGATAGAGATCATGGAATCGCCATTACAAACAGCCGACTGGCATGGGGATATGCCAGGGATGCCAAGAAAACCCATCAGAAAACAGGTGCATAGACTGTGCTATGGACTTCTGTAAATCCTGCACCAGAGCCCATGATAAAATGCCCATGAGCAAGAACCCATCGAATGTTGACAACTCCCGAAGTTCATTGCATCAATCATGAAGACAAAGTCACTGAATTTTACTGTAATACCTGCCTTAATCTAATCTGCAGTTTGTGTGCTGAATCCATACACAGTGGGCACCGAATTATTGGCCTACTTGAGGCAGCTACTACATTTCGAAATACTGCACAACAACACATCAATCTCTTCGAACACAAACAAAAGGAAGCTCAGCAAAGCAAAATATGCGCGATGCAAAAGAGTCTTCAATTGGCTGAAGAGCTTGGACAGCAGGAAAACGAGATAAGAAAACATTCCCAAGATACAATAGACAAGTTAACACACCTGATACATCAGAAAGAAAACAGTCATGTGAGAAACCTTAAAATGGAGTACGGCAAAATGAACGAAGAGCTCAACAGCGAGATACATCAGTACGAAACAATGGAGGACCTCATGGCAAGAAACATAACATTCATAAACAATTTATTACAATACAGTAGCGCAGCTCAACTGATGAAAACAAGTCAAGAAACCATAATGCAACTGGAAACCCTAACAACGCTAGACACCACATGGCAAGCTTCTAACGCTGTACTTCCTCAGTTCCACCCTGGTGACATTTTCCTCAAAGGAACCCTGGGAACTTTGCAGCTTCCTGCAAAACAACAACCAACACTTGTGCCTGACTCCATGCAGAAAAACATGAATGAAGATTATGACCTAGCTGGTTTCCATGGTTACAGTACAACTAAAGCACTGACAGCGAGGCCTCCTTCTAAATGGCAGCACACCCAAAAACCGTCAAAACGTAGACAATCGTATTTGCCACTGAAGTTGGGTACAATTCTTGGGAAAAAAACTGAATCAAATTCACCTGGGTTTTTCAACAGACCGATTGGGGTGAAGTTAAGTACAAGTGGAGATGTTGTGGTTGCTGATAGTATGAATCGAAGAGTGCAAATACTAGACATCCAAGGCAATCTAAAATTAATGATACAATTCAGTGGTTATGGTAAACCAGTCCAGCCCATTGATGTCGCATTATCAGCAGATAACACCTACTTTGTAACGGATGGATCATGGAGAACAGACAGAGCAGGAAACTACCAGGTGATCATCTGCGACCAGCATGGCAAAGTTTTCAGGTGTATCTGCAGCAAGGATTTGCGTAACCCATGTGGGATTGCTGTTAATGAAACAGTCGATGTTTTATGCGTAGTCGACAGGTTTGCGCATTGCATTAGACTGTACGACATGGCGGAGTTCTTATGCATCAAGTCAATTGGCAAGAAGGGTAATGGCCAATGTGAGTTTCTTTTTCCATGCTTCATAGCTATCAATAGCAAAGGTTGCATGATTGTTTCTGATGCAGGGAACAACCGCATCCAAGTACTCAATTCTCACGGATCGTTTTTGTTTGAGTTCAACGGCATTCAAAATAATAGCTTTGATCAGCCAAACGGAGTAGCTACCGATAAGAATGATAACATTTATGTATGCGATACAAGTAACAACAGAGTGCAGATGTTTAACAGTCAAGGTGAATTTGTGACCAATATTGTGTGTGGCTTTGAAGTACTGGGATCACCAATAGGCATAGCAAAAACTGATGAGATAAATTCGTAATCACATGCAAAGAGTCACATAGTGTGAAGGTGTTTCACAAGTGAATACTGAACCATATCATACAATGTACCACATTTCTTCTACTTGAAATGCAACTCACCTCAACCTCAGTAAATCAGTAACCATGGCAGCCGCATCATATGCATCGGCAATATTTACCTAACAAATTTATCTACTACGGTAGTTCCCACTTTCAGGAGATACCCTGGTTGCCATGGACACATTAATAATTGTTTGTGTTCAGTAATTCACAGCTGTTTGCAGATGATTATATTTCAGTCATGCGCCATGATGTTGCTATGAGTCAGATAAAAAAAAAAAAATTCAATCGTGCCCTAATTATGAGTTTTTTCGACGCACCTTTAAGCAAGGAAATGATATTCAAACACATCTGTTATACTTTCGAACACAGCATACATCATTATGAATCAATTTTACTAATTTCGCAGCCGGGCGTAAAATAAGCAGCTCACAATAAATCTAATGTTCACAATTTAACCTTTTCACCACCATACTTGCCCAAATTTTTTCTGAACTTTTTTCTTACATTCTTCAATATTTCTGGAAATTAACCCAAATTTTGGAGTCAACAGACAAAAATTTTCAATTTGCCTAATTTTGTCCTATCTTCTGAAGAAATGTAGACTATAAATGAGACTTTTTTATAAATTTGTGATGAAAAGAGGAAACTCGTGGTGAAAAGGTACAATATTTTTGTTAATTTTGGATCAAAGGGACACCATTTACCATATCCTACAGGTCCTGATTACAATTTTGAAGGAAATAAGGAAAAGATTATGCATGTAGATAAAAAGTTTACTCAGTGTGCATAGGATTGAATATAACCATGGATATTTACTTTACAATACTCCAGCAACAAAGTGTCATGTAACATAGTGTACCATGGGTATTTGTATAGAAACATGACATGTACAAATGTATACCAGTGAGTTTATTATATACCGTATTTATCCGGGTATAAGCCCAGGGTCCTGAACATGGAAAATTGCCAAAAAGAAGGGGTGGGTGTTTGCCAGGAGATCCCCAGCAAAAAAAAAACACGAAAATTCGCGAAAATTGACAACACGCAGATCGAACTGCAACAGGGAATAGAACGGCAAATGAAAACATGCAACAGAAATAAATGAACAATATGCAACATTAGAAGTAAAACAAAAATAATGTATTGCTTATAATGTGACAAATAAACCAGAAATAATAAAAATCGACAGTGAGAAATCATTTGAATTAGGATTTTCCCGCCGACAAACACGCCCCAATACGCGTGAACTCAAAATGAATTAAAATGTAACCAGGGATGTCCTATAAAGATTTGTTGCTATCGGGCTTAAAAAAACAGAGGAATTTCATGCAAAATTAGCAATATAAACATCTTTGGCAATAATGCTTTATATTTTTATACTAGTACCAGGTTTTCCTATTTTGACCAGTCGATCATACACCCATAATCAGTACCAACAGTCATGTGACTTGATTCACCTAGATATTTGATTCTGTTTATTCAATTTTTGGACACAGGTCACAAGACTTGCCAGATATAAGACAATCAGATGACTAGATTCAGACTAACCATGTTATACTGTAAAATGATTAATTTTCACTGGGCTTAAATTTCACTGATTTAGCATTTCAGGCATATTCAGTGGGGTTTAAATTCACGGTTTTATCATTTAGATAATGTGTTCTATGCTCAATTTTACATATTCACTGGGGGTTAAATTAGTGCATTTTCCAGTCAGCGAAATAATAATTAATCCTTTTACAGTAAATATAATTTAGACCATCAACTGCTGAATATTCTAATTATTAAAAGCTGTATTTTACAACCCATGTTTGAATTGTATGAAAATATTGTTGATTGAGTCCCTCTATTATCTGGTATTGTTTGAAATATGAGTTATTTTCATCTTGTAAACAATGCTTTGTAGCAGGAAGACCGAAAAAGTTAATGATGGACGTTCCATAGATAGAAAAGCCAACAAAATGTCATCCTATTTTCTGAATATTATTAATAGTAAAGTCTTTAAATCAATATGGATAACTTGAAATTGGTTTAACGTATGGTGGGCTACTCAATATAGATTCCAAATTTTAGTTTTTGACCTTTTGATCGTCAAACTTTCTCAACCAAATTTGTCTGCACCTTTTTCTTATATTCTTCAATATTTCTGGAAATGAACCCTCATTTTGGAGCCAGAAGACAAAATTTTAGTCATTTTTAGTTTTTACTAAAAAAATTTGGCTATTTGTCCCAATCTTCTGAAGGAAAGTGCAGACTATAAACTGGACAATTTTCGTATTTTACTTTGGTTATTTTTGTATAAACAGGACTAATATGTGAATTTGTGATGAAAAGAGGAAACTGGTGGTTAAAAGGTTAATTTTCATGATTGAATATTACCTTATCTAAGTATGAATCATTTGGTTATCTGTGACTAGGAATGTTGTAAAAAAATTCAGTCTGTTTCTGGACCAGTCGATAGAGAGACTGTTACTCAAAGTATTGTGCAAAAAAATTATGTCAGAGTTTAGAATGTTTAAAAATGTGCGACAAAGGACATTTTCTCTTCATTATTGGCAGCAGTTTTGTAAGTGAGCAAGAATATTTACCATTATTTTCACTATTTTTTTGTATATTTCTGACTTCCTAAGTTCATGAAAACATTTTAAAGTGCGGTGGCCATAGTGCAGCGCGTGTTCGAATTTCATGTAATTTTAAATTTAAAATTTCATGCATTTTACACGCATTGTACACGTCACTATAAGTCCCATATCGAACAGGACGCGGCACGACGACTGCCGCCCTTTAAGTAAAATTGACATCAAGCAGACTACCATGCCTTAATGTACACTACATACTACCAGTAATCTATGAATGACATTTTGTTCTGAATCAATCTGACGTTAATGAAAAAGCCTATTGTGATTCCTGCTTTTGATGATGTGTGCCAGACGTTCACCATCACATGTCTATGATTTATCTAATATGAACACACTGACAGCAAAATAGAAATTTGGTGTTATACGCCAATCTGGATTTTAAAAAGCACTACTTTGTCTTACCTACAACTGCGTAGCCACCTGGTATTATCCTGTAGACAGCATCTCCGCTACGAACACCATCCGGAAACCATGCAGCCATACATTCTCCAACCAATCTTCCAAACGCTGCACCGATAATAAATACGGGCATAAACACACCGGCTGGTACTGGTAAGGTAACAGCAACCGCAGTCATCCAAAACTGTCAAGATAAACCATAGAGTTGATGTAGATGTAGTATGTTCTATAGGTCATATACAAATCGCACCCCGAGATCTTTTTTTGAGATTAATAGAAGAAATATTTACTACCGGTAATTTCATAATACCAGTATATGTGGATGGTTGTTACTTGTATTCAAGGTAATTTTTCATTAAATTCGGTAACGAAAAGGTCATGCAAAAATTAGTGTAAAAAAACAAGGCATGTATCAATATTAAATACTCATTTAAAACTGACTCGTCTACATGTTCCAGTGTAGAGCAATACACGCATATTCTAGGGCCACTACACACAAGCCAGAGCACTTGTCAGGTTTTTTGGTGTAAAATACGCAAAAATATGCAATATCCATGCAGACTAAACATCTAACACATGCTGATGTTATATCATAACAATAATGAACTTCCAATATAGTGACATATTACACTCCTATGCTCAAAAGTGTGCTCATCTGTAGCTTCAACACTGTCGTACCAAATGTTACGCCGAATATAAAAATTGTGCAAAAGTGGGGGGTGGGCGCTTGACCAAGCATGGGCGCAAACACGGCCCGGTACGGTAAATAGAATCCTCATTCCATGGAACTACAGGTCCTTCACTACAGTTTTAATAAATAATACATGTCTTCAATTCAGTTCAGTCGGAATCACTTTAATATCTATATTACCGGTTATACCTTAAATATTTTCATTTTCTGACTACAATTACCGCAAAAATACGGTGGTTGGTATAGCTGGTTATCAACTATGCAAATATACTCAAACATCAGTGGAGTCCAGGAAACCATACATACATGTTCATTTTCTTTGTCAGTTTAAATGCTGTACATGCAAAGCAGGCAACAGGCCAAATTGAAAAAATATTGTAAATACTTTATTTTTGCTTGGAATTTATTTTCACTATTTTCGCTGAAGAGATAATTCATGGAAAATAGTATCTAGCAAATATATCCTTCTCTTATGTTTAACATTCATCTCGTCAAAAAACAGTGAAAATAAATTCTGCACAAAACACTCAAAAAGTCTTTTCAGCGAAATATTAATTCCAGCTTAAAATAAGGTGTTTCACAGTACATCATGTTCAGTCAAAATGTGCTACAAATTGTTGGTGTTTTTCAGGTCAAAATCAAACTTTTTTTCTATTTCTTTCGCAATTTTGCCCCCCAAAATACTTACACTTCTTTGCAAAAGAACAGTTTGGCCGAATGCCTGGCTATCCTGTAAGTGATTTTCATTGCTCACCTTAAATGCATTTCAATTCAAATTTAGAGTCAATACCCGACAGTATTGTTGTTCACTCAACAACATGCTCAATAAATGTATTAATTATATGGGACTGTAGATGTAGATGTATAGATTCTAGCCTAGTATACTAGTTTACTGGTAACTAACACTAATCATAACTAGTACCGGTAGTAACCAACCATCCTTACCTTCATAACAATAAAGACAACTAGTGTTACATAAATATTGCTATCTGGATGTTTCCAGTGGCTGATAACCTGAGCGTCATCAACATCGGCTTGTCCAGTGGTCCATGTGGTATTGCTAAAAAGTTCATCTAAAACCTCTTTCTGAGTCAGCTGAAAATTATATTGATAAATATGAAAACATCAGCAAGTTAAAGAGCTGTCCTATAATGTGTCTTTTCATGAGATCAATGGGATCTTCCTCACATGTCAGTTGCATGCCCTTATCAATTATCTGCCCTTGATACTTCATTGAAAGACAAAGATATATGAAAGTTGACTTACTTCACCAGCCATGAACTGTCCTAGTCCTAGAGGGAATGTTATTGAAGATATGGTAAACGCCACTAATGTTGGATATATAAAACGACTGAAAGAAGAAAAAAAAAAATAATTTTGCAGAAACCATTTTGTGTTGGGCTGGGCCTAATAGAATTAGTTTCACACATACAAATTTAGTAAATTATGCATGCCAAACTACATGACGATACAGTACTCATATGCACCAAGGGTACTCAACTTCAAAAATCACGTCTTTAGAGTCTAAATCTAGCACCTGCTTATTCAAATGATAATTTTCATTTGCCAAATTAGGTGGAATATTACATCTCTTTATTAGGGTCTGTAGGAAAACAGTCAAGGTCAAGATCTTCATTGCTATCTTTTCTGTTCACTGAAGGGATGATTCCGTGAAAATAAAATTCAGCGAATATACTTTTTTTTCTATATTTCACATTAAACTCATCAAAAATCAGTGAAAATAAATTCCATACAAAACGCCCAAAAAGCCTTTTTAGCGAAAATTAATTCCAGTGAAAATAAAGTTTTCCACAGTAGATCAAGTCTATTATTAACCAATCAGAATGCAGTGTAGTACTGACACAATTCTCGGTGAATTTCTGAGATTGATGATGGCCTTTTTTTTTAAAGCAATGTGCAAGTAATTTTAACAAAAAAACAACAAGATTTAAAAACAACAGATGATTTGTAATTTTGAGGCATTACAAAAGATGTAGGCGCTATTAAAGATCAGGAACAACATCATGAATATGATCAAAAAGACTAACTATGGTAGGTCAAGATCAAGTTTGTAATATTGAGATGAAATTTGTGTCAAGAAGAAGTACATACAGTGTATATGTAATTTATCGTAAACCTCTTTAATTTTGCGGGAGAAAAAAATTCGCTAGGATCCTCAACACTGAGTTACAGCCACTTGCATGGAATTTTGACCTCTAATTATGGTCACCAACAAATCGTCAATTCCTGAAAATTCCTACCAGCAAAAAATCAAATGGTTCACAGTAAAGAGATAAAACTGATACGTTTGTATTCATCAATTTTGGCGAAAAGGAATACATTTCATTGAAAGCTATAACCCTTCCACCTGGAGATATTGTCAACATTTTTGTGAAATTATTTTCATCATTTCAGTATATTCTCTTTCATTTTAATACTTATTCATAACACGAAAATGAGAGCATTTAATGAACATCTAACACTGATTCCATTTTTTTAATTATAATTGTTACAAAAAGAACTACTTTAATGGAAGTTGACTTTAGTGGAAGGTGACAAATCTTGAGAATGGTGGTAAAAAGGTTACACCATAAATGAGTGCATGGACACAGACAGAAATAATTACAATGTAGATAATTCATAATATGAATCAACATTATCAGCATTATATATGTCCACTTTCTTAATCAAATCAGTATTATTTTAAAATAAAATACTGTGTTATCCACCTAACTTATCAATACAGCTCTTTACTTCCATACACTTACTTTTGCCTGCATAGGTGGAAATAAAGACATAATTTTTAAGCACAGAAAAAAATTTATAATTATGTTTAGATACTGTGATGACCAGAACTGTTTATGCACCAACCTCCCGCATGCTCATGCTGGGACATGATTGGTGGATTGCAGGTCACATGATACATGTATATACGAGGTACCAAGATGAAGATAGTGTCATGACGATTCATTCCAGGTTTTCTTTTGTTTTCTTTTGTTTTAAACAGACACACAAATTCAAAGGATTTTCATTTTGCTTTCAGTCATGAATTATATTCTAAATGGTGTTTGCTTTTTGTTTTTGTACAGCCACTATTTACCAAGTTCATGAGCC